TGTGGGTCTGACCCACTATTATTTTTCAAGTATCGGACGGTTCCAGTCTTAGAGCTTGTTCATGCTGAGTAGAGACGGTCACTCATTCTTCCGACTGCGTAGGACTGCTATTTATATTTAGTTTTGGATTTCTTTTTAATTTAGTTTATCTTCAGTTGGGTTTTGAATAGGGTTCCACTAGATGAATTTCTGAGTTGTTTTTGTCATGGAAGTTTTGGATGTAGCAGAATAGTTCTTATATATAAAAGTTTATTCTGAGGTTTTCATTAAAGGATTATCGTTTTAGTTTTCTTTCAACAATTTTATTTATTCCTATTTATCATAATTGTATTCTGTGTTCGATTATTGTCATTTATTTTTGATATCCTCGGGTGTTTGGGCGTGGACCTGACCAATCCGTATTTGGAAATCCGGGGATATCACAAGAGAGATGGAAGAAAGATAAGCAATGGGAGGTTAAGGCTTTTAAAGAGGAAATGACTTAATGCCCATGAAACCACAACAATAATGGCGCAGCAAATCTCAAAGCACCGGTCTCTGAACTAACCGTTCGCTTCCCCACGTCATCATTTCGAGCTGTCACATCATGATTATGTCCTTTCGATAATCTCACCCTAATTAATTAGGGAGAGATTATTGGGGCAGATGAAGACACCAAAAATGGATTGGACCAAGCACGATCCAGATTGCTAAGAACGGGTCAGGCAAGAGCAACCGCTCCGAACCAAGTCTTCACTAGTCAAGCCCAGGACCGGAAAATTATGTAGGAAGCCCGATTTCAGATAAAATGAATTGGGCCTACAACCAAGAAAAGCCCAGAAGGCCAGCCCAATGCAAGGAGTTAGTTAAGAAACTTCTAGAAGATTTGTAACAGTCTATAAATAGACTGAAAATAAAGGAAAAAGGAGTTGGAAAATTTATTGAAGTATAGAATTATCCTTTCTAAATAGAGAGTATTTTTCTTGTATCTTTAGTTTAATTGCAGAAATCAAATTCGTAACAAACCCAAAAACCATATAAAAAATAGACAATGAATATTTTTGTGAATAATAATACTTTTATTAGTATATAATTTATACTAATTATAATAACATTATAAATTTGTTATAAAATTTAGGTGCATAAGTTTCTTGCCAAAAAAAAAAATGTCTTTACTTATTGGCTAATTATTATGGATAGTCTAGGACTTATGAGAGTTTATTGGCAAATAAAAATCATATAATCCAAAATAATCAAAAGAGTGTGGATATATAGTTTCCCCAAGATCAATGATCATAATTGTCAAAATAAAATTATACTGTGAAGGATAATTTTATCCATTAAAATACTTTGAGAAAGTTAAAATGGTAAATTCATAATTTAAATAAGTCAATTCATAAGTCAATAGGTAATAAGGTACTTTTACCTTGATTTGAGATATTATTGTTTAATTCATTAAACTTTGGGATGTCATTGCCCCAAAAAAAAAAAATCTAAGTTGTAACTACTACATTTTTACCCAAATTGAGAGAATGAGTGCAATTTACCCTTAAATATATTAGACTTTGACTAAGTTTTTGCTTTAGGAGCAAATGTTTTGACTGTTCTGAATTTCTTGAATATTGACCAAATTATTAGAATACATTATATATTATTCACGCAACGCATATTTTTTTTATATACATAAATTACTTTTTAAATAGTAATAGAAACATATAATCTAAGTCATATAAGTAAATACGTTATCTTCCTTGAGGAATTTTGAAAGACGATGGAGAATGAAGAAAATTTAAAATACATATTTGGTGCTGGTGGAAAGAAAGATAAATTCTTATTAAAAAATAATTAAAAAAAAAAAAGAGTGAAAGAGAAAATTGAGTCGCCAATAAGTGATTAAAAAGGGGTCATTTTGTGAATAATAGGGTAGAAATTGAAAGCTTATATACAATTTGAAAAACACAGATGCAAGGCCATTATTTGGTTGAAATTTTTTAAAAACTTTTTTTTGAAAATTCATTTAAAAAGTCAAATGTTTTTTTATAATTATGTTAAAATAACTTAGAGAACTGAATTAAATAGATCCTAAACTTTGGAACTGTTTCAAACGTATGTAAGAGATCTTTGGACAAAAACTTTTGGAGGTCAGGGTAATAATTTCACATATAAATGTGATTAAATTTATGAATGATGAACAATCTTCCACGTCAAAAATAATAGACTAATCTCTTGCCTGTTAGTCCATAAATTTAAATATAGAATAGAAGGTATGTCAAGGGATGACAAATGGGCGGATTGGACCGGGTTTAAATTTGGTTGAAAATGGGTTAGTTAATATGGGTTAAGATCCATATTCAATTTATTCATAACGGGTTAAAAATGGGTAGAATCAACCCGCTATGATTTGTGGACTCATTAATTATTATTTAAATTTTTTTTTTAAAATATATATATTTTTTTTGTTAAAAAAAATTTTCACCGAAGCTCCAATATTTCTCTAATACCTCATCTTATCCCTATTTCAAAAAACAGAAGAAAAGGGAAAATTGAAAAATAAAAAATTAAATAGAAGACAGTAAAAAAAAAAATTCCCGCCTCCACCGGCGGTGGCATCAGGCGTTTTCCGGCTGGGGAAAGTTGAGATTGAAGTCGCGAGCTGTGTTTGGCTTGACGTCGCTCTGGTTCAAGTCAATTACAGAGGACGAGTCGGAGTCACTCTCGACCCCACCACCGCAGTGTGCGTCGGCCTCGGAAAGTCGCCGCCGTGTGATTGAACATCAGCCGCTGATTCTGAAGCTGACAGAGATAGTCTTGATTCATCGTCTCAGGCCGCAGGATCCGGTCAAAATAGACAACCTGACTTGCCGGCGGCAAAATTCCGGTTACCGGAGAAACATGAAACTGCTGCTGCAAAAACAGAAACCTCACGACGGAGCCAAATCGAGCTATGCCTCCGGCGCCGTGTCGAACGTCCCCAACCACACACGGCTCTTCTTCCCCGGATCTCGAATCTCGGCGGCGTATCTCCCCCACGGCCTCTTACGTACACCCCTGAAATGCACCTCATTCGCGTTGCCGTTAAATTTGTTTTAAATTTTTTTTGAATTTTTTTTTAAGTATTTTTAATTTTAAATTATTTTTTTTTTTCAAAAGGTTTTAAAATTTTAAAATAATTTTTTAATTTTTTTAATTATTTAAAATTATTTTTAATTATTATTTTTAATTATTAAAATTATGTTTTAATTATTTATTTTTTTTAGAAGAAATTTGTAGAGAGAGAAACTTAAAGAGAGGGGATTGATGAGAGACAAATATAGAGAGAGATTTGTGAGTGAGAGAATTTTAGAAATAGAAATGAGTTGAGTGTAATATAGAATAAATGTGTATTGTGTGTTTATTATGTGATGGGTGAAAGATGGGTTGAATATAATTAACCATATTCAACCCATCTCGATCCTCAAGTAAAGTGGTTAAAAATTACCCAACCCATCTTGATTCTCAAACTAAATATGGTTCACCCATAACCATTAAAAAGCGGACGAATATGGGGTAGTTGATGGTTTTTGACCTATTTTGCCACCCCTAATCAAAACCATGTATATTCTTGTATTTTTAGTTGTGATTTGTTTTGGATTATTTTTTTTAGGGTAAAGCATTTTTTTTGGGAAGGAGGAATAAATATTTGTACCGAGCACATCACAACCGCTCATGCTCGCACGTGCATATCACTCATCTAAACATATTATGCACGCACGGTTATGATGTGCCTATTGCACTGGACACAACGAATATTTACTCCTCGAAGCGATGGTACCACCGGGCCAACTTCTAAGACCCATGGGGAATATTCATGTGTAACTTTTGGGCGAAATCTACTCAGAGGATCGTTCATTAGAGAATTTGCACCACTGTCTCTTTAATCTTGAAATTGGGCTTCTTACATGATTGCTCTGCATCAAGAAGAGTCCTATCGGACTGAAACCTATCTCCCTCTTGCTGCCGTCCACCTCCGAGACCACCGGACTAACCCACGCCGGCAAATTACCGCATCCTGCTGAGGCTCCTCACCGGAATTGCGCACTAACAACTTTCATTAACGGTCAATCAATAATGTTAATGTAGGTTATTAGTTTTGTATATTCTTTTGGGCTTCTCTCTTGGGCTTGCACGCTTAGTCTAATGGACTGTTTGGTCAAATGGGCTATCTCGTAATTATTCTCTATATATATTCAGTCGCTTGAAAATTTCATAATAAAAAAAAAAAAAAAAAAAAAAAAGTGATATTATTTTCTACGTGGTTGCTTTTACATGAAACAAAATGTTTTTGTCTAAGTGAACAACATGCCCTCCACTGGTTTAGTTTCAAGAGGAATCTTAGTGACAAATTGAAAGTTTGTTTCCCCGTACAAAAAGAAGCACATCAAATCATGTTGAAAATTTCACTCATCCGAATGGAATCCCTATTGAGAACCTTTACTAGAAGGGAAGAATCAATGGGCATATATGTGGATAAAATTCATTAATGAGGAAAATGAGACTAACCAAAATTTATAGATATTCTTCATGCAGCAAATGAGAAAATTAGGTTTGATGTTATTGGAATAAGTTCCCACTCATTCACCAAATGCTTTGGGGCTTTAAAGAAAGTACTATAATTCCACTTGCACCAGACAATTATTGAGAAATTTTTTTTGAAAGTCATTTTAAAGAAATCGAACTCTCTAAGCTTAATAAATAGTGAGAGCTTTACTATTATACTATCAAAGTTCCGACACTAATATTTATGGATGTCCATATTAGACTTGTCCCCCCCTCCCCTAATATTTATGGATGTCCATATTAGACTTGTCCCCCCCTCCCCGGGGTCGTTCTCTAGCCTAATGGAATGACTTCTCCTTGTCGAAGTGTTTAAATTAGAAACAATCATTTTATGCGAATTAATATCATGTGTTGGAGATTTCACCACCTTGTGTAAATAAAAATTCAACACCGATTAAATGGAATTCATACATACTACATTAGGATGGGTGAAAAACTCTTAACTGAATAATTATTTATATGCATACTGCACTATGGTTACAATTATGACCTCTCTGCATATACATTATACAACCTCTATTTTGGTAAATACTCCATATACAACCTATAATACAACATTAATTAATGTAGTAGTGAAATGAACCCACTTCAAAACAAACTCTCAATGGCCCATGAAATTATATGTAGGGCCTAGTTTGGGCTTGGGCTATTGAGCTCAAATGGACACACTGTTGGGAACACCTCTACATGTGACCCCAGGTTCTGAACTCGGAGCAAGTAGCTCGTACGGTAACACTCCAGCCCCACACCTATTCTTCAGCCTAGGATCACCATTCCTTCTCTCTATCTCCTTCTCTATCCGTCCGATCTCTGCCGAGAATCCGTAAAACGCTTCCACCATCTCCGCATCACCGGACCAGATCGACGGCTGGTGTCGCTCGCCAATGTACTCCTCGTCCGGCGAGTGAGTCGAGAGCGTGTCGACCACAGCCATAAACTTCGTTGACTGCAACAAACTCGGCAACGCACAGAGGAAGTACTTCTGTGGATCGTTGAGGAATACGGCGTACTCGGGGTCGTTCTCCTCGGGAATTAATCGGCGCATGAGTGGCGGTCGGTTGGGAACGTAACCACCGTAGGGGTACTGACCGAAGTTGAGCGCGGCGTGCTGCGCAGAGGCAAGCCAGATGATGGTGGTGAGGATGGAGACGAGATCGTCACCGTTGCATAGACTGGGCCACCAGGACTCGTGGCGGAGATCGGCGTGGCCCACGTTGATGGACTCGGAGTACCAGGCTTGGAGCTCTCTGTCGTTGCGGATTAGGGCCGCATCTGGGTAATAATGGGTCACGTAGGTTCGGACCCAGTTCTCGATAGAGCCCCAGATCAAAAGCCCATCAGCTGCATATGGGTAGTCCTCAAGTAGGAGCTTCAGCCCATGTGGTTGTGTGGAGTCCGGTACTGCCATACCTCTGCATAAATTAAATCAGAACCGTTAATTCAATTCAATCAATATCTGACTGTTGCGTAAATTCATACATCTTATATTAATCATGAATTAGTAATTAAATGGTGATTTTCTTACCTACGGATGAGATCTGCTGGGAGGCCCTCTAAATCAAAGCGCCAGAAATTCTTATACGCAGCAGCACTGATCTCCATGCAGTAGCGACCAGGAGTGAAACAAGACTCGATCACACCATCAGCGTTGATTAAGTTCTGGCGAGCCAAGGCATTGATCTCCAGCGTGTATCTCATGTGTGGGTCCAGAAGCTTGAATATTGGGTGCATCGCACTCATTTGCCTATGCGCTGCTAATATAAAGGGTTCCAAGCACGCGTGGGTCCTTAACCTGTCATGAAAAAGGATAATTCAGTAAATTCACTCAAAGTTCAAAAAGTTTCAGCTCGAATTTTTTTTGTAAACTGAATTGAACTTGCTCAACTTAGTTGATTCTAGTGTACTTCAATCTTGACTAGTAATTGAAATTCGAATTTGGTTTATTTATTTAATAAAGAAACGAGAATGAACAGCATTGTCCTGAATTAAATTTTTTAAGAGTTGGGTCCAAATGTTTATGAATGGAAGGGGCGCTATGCTTACCAGTGATTAACAAGTTGATGCACACCGGCGTCATTGGAGCATACATGGGCTTTGGCCAGCTGCCACTTCCAATTGTTGGTAGCGTCGACTGGCGGCGTGATGACACTCTTTGACCGGGAACTAGGTCCGGCCGGTGGAAGGCTGAGCTCAATGGCAATGGGCTTGAGAGTGCCCAATGGTGTCAAGAAAAAGATGGTCCGAGTGGCATATGATTTGCGCCCATCAAGGGCATTTATACGGTCAAGGAAGGGAAGGTACGCGTCGTGGTGATCCACCATGAATAGCTTATTTTCGTCCAAGGCCTGTTGAAATTACAAAAAGGTACAAGTACGGACGTTAAGAGCAGGAATGGAGTAGAATAAGGACCATGATAGTGTTGTTTGATCATGAGTTGAGATTAAAAACTCAAGGAGATCGATGGTTACCTGTTGTACAGTCATGCCATTGAGATTGCCCAAAATGTGTTCTTCTTTAAGGGCGGACTCTTGTGGACCGTAGATTTCGTGATCAAGCTTGCTCACTGGTGGGAATACTTCAAGCCTCTCTATGTTGACGGGATTTACTCCTGCTACTGCTTGGCGGCCAAATTCGTCATCTCTCAGCCATGCAAACTTGTCCTCTGTCAGATTCGATTACATGTTAGTTTATCACGTGAGAAATGTGAATTAGGTATAATTGTCCATCTTTGTTCTAAATTTAAGATCTTTACTAAATGAAAAACCAAACAGACTCTAAATAACTCGATTTTAGTTGCACTGGAGGTTTCAAGATTACTCACTTGATAATATCTTGGGAATGTCATATTTGAGAAGACCACCCTGGCTTGTTTCTTGTATTTTGGTTACTGTTTTGGGAAATGGTAGTTTCTTCAAGAGCTCATCCTGCAGCCCTAGTTTGAGGAGGAGACCCTCACTGTAGAGGCTGTCGATGTCGGAGAAACCTTTAAAATCATGGTTGTTTGATGACAAATTGGCCATCAATTGAGGTATCAAGTTATGAAGCACTGCTTTGAGCCTCCCGGATGAGAATGCGTTTTGTTTGGACTCCTCGAATTGTTCGTCCCTTGGAACGTACATTGGCAGTGGCTTCTCCACACGACTCTCTGCATGCATGTCTGAAGCACAGACAGTAGATTTTTTCATCAAACATTTGTATAAATTTGAGACAAGACAACTTAAACTAAAGAAGTAAACTATACTTGGCGACATGCTCACTCCTCTTCTTCGTTTCAAGTATAACATGATCATTTTAATCTCAGCTTCATTTAGTGAAGCAAAGAGCAATTTTACCCACGCTTGTTTATCAAACTATAGAACAATGTTATATGAACTAATTATTTAACCAAAAATCTATATGCCTTTCTGTCTCAACTTAAAAAAAAAAAATTGTTGTCTCATTAATGTCAGAATTATCATAAACCATGGACACCAGAATAGAATAGAATTGGAGAAAGGAGACTTACCAGTATCACTTGGAAGACGACCGGTGCGACACCGCCTAGGATACGGAATTTTTTCACCTCCAAGTTTTGGCCGAGCAAAATCAATTCCTCTATCCGGATTTCCTAGATCATTGTAAATATCAAAATCGTATATCCCGTCCGATAATTTTCTGACACCTTTGCCGTCACCCCTCAAATCTCTCAAGTCCTTTTCTCTCAGTGCTTTCAATCCGGCCGGTGTCTCATTAGGTAGATATGGCTGTTCAAATGAAAAAAAAAAATCAAAAGATCAGTTTTCACAAGTCTGGAAAAAATCAGTGTCTTTTACTAAGCTTTTTAATAGCCTAAGATTACTAGTAGTTTTGGTTGGTACTGGCTTTAAAGAGCATGACCCAATCTGGCCCATGATGTGGTCCATTTGACCATAACAGTAAATCTTAATTAGTGACACAAAGATTAGAAAATCAAACCTCAATTGGTTTAAATTAAGAAAAGGCCAAATTGATATATCTGAACCTTATCTTTAATACTCATTATCATCAAAGAAATGAAATTGATTCTATGGCAGCCCTTACGTAAAAGACATGTTTTTTTGGAGAAAAAGTACAGTATAAATCATACCAATTTAACAAGCTTCCCAATATGCCTAAACAAAACCATTGCCAAGGCAGGCAAGTGAACTTGTCAACAATAAAAGGAAAAATATCTAATTTAGGCAAAGCTAGTTGGATATTTCAGTAATTTACTCCAACAATTCAGGCCCAAACCACTTGTATGATAATTTAATTATTTCAACTTTCAAGCATTAAATAATGCTTGCGATGGTTAACAAAGTTATTAATTGATTGCAGTTGTAGTACAACAATGGCAGAAGTGTTGACATTGCATTAAAAGAAGCAGTTGAGAACTGTCATAAACCAAGCACCGGGAGAGAGAGAGAGAGAGAGAGATGACAATTCAAAATAGGGTGCTATGAATAGTCAACATAGGTTTACTTTGCCAAAATTTGAAGCAAGAAAGTATGGTTTGACTTGGGGAAAATGTATAATTGAATGACTAAAATAATAAAATAGGAGGAAAAAAGAAAAATACCAGTATGATTTTCTTAGAAGTCTAGAAAGTTGAAAAAAAAGGTGAAATAATGGAAAGGAAGAGAATTCATACCTGATTTGAAAAGAAAACCCTTTTCCCAGGATGATCTTTCTTAGATTGCACCCATGAACTGCAGGGGAAATGGACTGGACCACAAGCAAACCCTTCAATGGTTATAGTCTCCAAGAAGAACTCTTTCTGGTGCTTGTTGGTCACTGTGATTGCTCCGGGAATCCCAAAGTTGGAGTCCACTGTGAACTCTGCTATATAATTAACCCTCTCTGCTTTCACATTTGATTTCTTTGCCCAATCCTTCAACACAGCTCCATTGCTTTTCTTTGGACCTTTGGTTTCTTCATCACATAAATAAAAAAAACCCAATTCAATACAATACATAACAAAAAACAAACCCAGGAAAGATCACTAACTAATTCAATCAAATCAGTGCTAAAAAGCCCTTATTACGAGTCACTTAGACATTTGATCATAAACTTACCCAAAACAAACCATTAAAAAAATTGACTACTGGATCAAAATTTGACTAAATTGGCTTGTTTGGACAAGAAATTAGCAAACTTTAGCAGAAAGAGAGACTGGCTTACTTGGATCAACTTCTGTGCTGAGAAGCTCCAACACAACATTCCTTCCGATTTTGTCAGTGAAAGCATCCAAATGCTTCACAAATGTCTCCTTCAAATCCTCCTTATGCTTGTTCCTGACAGTCACCACAGCTCTGACCTTGAATTTGACTGCCTTTTCAGGCACAATTTTCACCAAGCTCAAGTTCTCACTAATAGCCGCCACAGGCCCTCTCACAACTTTCTTCAATCTCAAACGTCTTTTCTCCATAGGAACCAGAACTGGGTTGATCAAGAACTGGTTATGCTTCAAAACCACTCTTGATGAAACAAGAAATGAAGATCTGTCCATCAAAGAAGAACCCATAATTTCTTTAGTCAGTGCCATCTCAAATCTCTTTAATTTACCACACACTAGCTCTCTCTAAATATTGAAGTAGATGTATGTGTTTGTTCTTTGTTGTTGGGGAGAGAGAGAGAGGGAGAGAGAGAAGAGTGAAAAGAGAGAAAGAAAAGCTGATGACGAAGCTAGTGGGGGATGGTGTATGGTGGATCTGATGGTACGAATATATATAGGAGGAGAGAGAAAAGGTGTATTAACATAAGATCTCATTACCGTCCACACGTTTTACATTTTGTTCTCGCGACTTGTCTCTGTGTGTTGCACCTTTTATTTATGTTCGTTTTTTTTAGGCTGCTGAGTCAAAACGAGTTTCAGGTTTCCGAGTAAAGACGCGGTGTGGTCCTGTGGGGGAAGCCATGGCGAAAGTGGGAATATTAATTGTCAATGGTCCTTGATCTCCTTGTCTTTTACAAGAATGGCAATCAAGTCCTGTTCGTGTAAAAGTTGCATCTTGCATGGCTGCAACTGCAAGTTATTTATGCTAGCAAACTTACCCAAATATAATTGTACCCATTCTAGCAAGCCCGGACACTTATTTTAGGTTGCGGTGTCTGAGAAACTATTGTATGATCGGGAACTGTTCTATGCCAATCGACAAGTGAGTAAAGGTACAAATTGTGTCAAATTTTTTTTTTTGATCTTTTTGCTTACATGTTAATTGGTAATGATAAATGATCTTAGGATTATATAATAATTACTCATTGTGTCTATATCAGACACAAACATTGATACAGACCGACACTCGAATATGATTTAAAAGTATTTCACATTTTAAATATATTTTTTATAGTTGAAAATGATTAGAAAATTTTAATGAGGACACTTTTGGAACACTTTAAGAAACAACACGATACTTTTTACGATTTTTCTTCTTACAAGAATGCGATTTCAATGCGATTTCAAATTATATTAGGGACTAATAAAAAATAATAATATAAAATTTTTGAAAACAGCAAACAACATTCATCTAACTCAGATATGAATTGCTCATTTTATTCATTATAAAGTGAATAAAATAAATAATTTTTAAAATATATATATATATATATATATTATACTATTATTTTTTTATTGTATAACTATTGTATACATTTTGTTTTTTTTTCAAGATTTGTCTTGTAAGTTCTCTCTGTATTTTGTTATATTCATATTCATGGCTTTTAGATATAATATATAGTCAAACAATGAGTAACAATAACTCACACATTCATTTGAGATTTGGAAATAATCTGAAAATAGACGGAATTTGCACGAGTGTTGGTGGAATTGATTTTTGATTTATAAATGATAATAATAAAATAATAATTAGTGGGGAACACGTTGTGTTGTCAATCAATGGTTGATGGGTCTCTCTGGCACACAGAAAATGTTAAAGCATAAAATCCCTTTTTGTCTTGTCGAGAAATGATAGACCAATTAGTACCCCTTTAAAATTATGACATACAACAGTTGATCGGAATCTTGTCCAATGAAGCCAAGACAAAACTGATCGAGTCTGAACTTGACAAGTGGAATCGTCACAAGACACAGTTGGATTGATCCAGCAAGGGTTAATGTACAATTAATGGTTGAGTTCCACTCTACCCGAGCTAGTTCCTGCCGGACTAAAATTAACGCGTCAGTAAATTAAGTTGGTGTTGTACATTAAGAAAATATTATAATGGTAAAAAATTATTGTGATGTTAAATTTATATTCAAATGTTTTTTTACTACATCACTAATTAAAGAGAATCGATTTATTATTGTGTAAGAAAGAATTTTGATTATTCCCAGCTTCGAACCTACAGTGTATAAAGTAAAATTTCTTGAATCCAAATAAATGAATAAATTACTAGGGCACCGTATATATGTGAATATTTGTCCGTACCTAACGTAATCTTACTCACGGTGACTTCTCTCAAAATGAAACTCCTATTCTTTCATCAATTTATTGTAACTGCAAATGTCGTTCGTAAAAGTCGAACTTGTGGTAACAATTAATAAACTCTCTTTTATCCTCACTTTGGCGTTGGAGGGATGGGGATGAAATTGCCAATACAGATAAAGATGAGGGTACGGGGGGTGGTTCGATTTTTGTAATGGTAATGGTAATAAGAAATAGCAAAAAGTAAGTCGTGAGAGAATTCTCTTTATTGAGAGGGATATTAATGGTATGCATTAGGTTTGACTACGTATCTCACTTGCCGCCAGTTTGGCAGCAACATATAAGCTTGTTTTTAATTTCTTAGACTTGATTAAGATATCTTAATCTTGGTCTTCTGAAGAATTTCCAGGATCATTCTATTCAATTTGAATATGTGTAAGTGGTCGGGTAATGTTTCTTAAAAAAAGAAGTTACTCATCTCTTTAAAATGTACAAAATTAAGTTATAACAAATATAAACAGTGAAATTAATCTTCCTTTATATTGAGAATGTTATTGGTATGCAAAGCTAATGGAAATTAATATAAATAGGAAATGAAGTGGCATGTCCAACGTATTTAATATCTTTTCGTTTATATTCAATCTCCATTAAAATTTGAATAAATTACATTAACTTTCTTTAAAATTTGAGCAAATCACATGCGGGTAAAACTGTTGAGCGTTTATTACTTTAATTTCCCCTAAAATATAGGGTGTGCTCAACGACACTCTTACTGTTTTCTTTTCGACATAATTATTGACCAAATTTTTACACATGCTAATTTTGCTATTCTCTTGTGTGGAAATTTTGCCCCCTATTAAAATCAGGTTATTATTAACTTTTTATATTTAAAGTCACCTTTTAATAACCGACAAACAAGTTTATGGGAGGTTAAAGTAATAAACGTTGAACAATTTACCTCTCTAAAATTTGTCCAAATCTCAAGGAAGGTTATTTTGAACTAACTCAAGAACTAGAAGAATTGTGTGTTTGTATACATGTTGGGAGGAAGAAAATAGCTACATTACCCTTTCTTTTGTGGATGCACAAAAAATAATGTGTTATATGATTAGAGAAAAGTTGTGTGGGCCTCATCCTTAATTGTTGTTGTGGAGACAAGCTTTCTAATGTGGCCCTGTGTGATATTTATGTTATGTTTGGGAGTATCGAATTGGTGTCTTTGATTTGAGATTGAATAAAGTTTAGTTAAAATTTTGTATTAAATTTTTTCTATTTCTAAATTCAAGATGCCAGTTCGATGTCGCCAAACATAGCATTACTTTAAAAGTACATTGGCAGAAAAAGTTGGTGGTTCTTTGAATATATATCAACTAATTTTGTAACAACACTCACTCTAGTCAGACACGATATTGTCCATTTTTTGCTTTTCCGGACCAGAGACTTTTCAAGGGGTCACCCATTTTGGTACTACTCCAGGTTAAACATACTTAACTCTGGAGTTTTTGTGGGTTCATAACCATCACAGCTTTAAAACACTTTCTGTCAAAGAAGGGTATTGAATCTACATATATCACTTGCCTCATCCACACCCAGGCGATGTGGAATTGTGCATCTGTAACTCGCCTAGTGTGGTAGCCTACTGGTGCTACCTACACACGCTTACGTATACCCACCCACAAGGTCACCAAATAATTTGTTCTTTATATTATGTAGACTGCTTTATATGTATATATAATAATGAAAATTTTTTCCTGAGATTTACAAAGGCAAAACATAAGCATACTACACAGTAGCACACCCTTCTTGCCTAGCTAGCTGTAAAACTGAAGAAAGGGTATGAGATAAAACCATATCCAAGTTCAACCCATTCTGCAAGAAAGAAACAAGTGCATAATGTCACGGGCCTAGAGATTTGGCGCAGCGGCACGGCCCGTGCGGCACCAAGGCGTTACTTCAGCTCGCGCAAGCGCCCTGGTCAGCCACCACGACCTGCCCTCCCAAGGATACATGCCGACTGGTTTCGGCCTGCCATGGCCTCATCAGGGGAACGGCCTCAACTCCCGACCAGTTTGTGCAGGGATGGCCAACTCCCTTCTTCATAGTCAAGTCCACGACCAGCGACAAGCACCTCGAACTGAACCGAGTCGACCTGCCTGAACTCTGAAGAGGTACCATCCTGTGGTCCTGCACGCCCCTTCCCTGGAACCATTCCCAGTCTATGAATGTTCTTAGCCAACCAGCATGCGTGTCTTCTATGTTCATGGCGTCGTTAGGAATCGGATCGTGACATTCTCCCCCACCCAAATCCTGCGATGCCCTCGTCGCAGTGCGGCGCTGACTCCGCTGCGTCCAACATTCCAAAGTCTCTCTCTTCCAAGTGGTATGCTCGCCTGCCCACCATCGCTTCCTTGTACAACCCTTGGCTGCACTCGCCCAATGATAGGGTTTCGGGCTAAAGGGACGCCCACTTCTTCGGGACGCAACCCCACGTTATGTCGCCTCCGCGACACCCCGAGCAAACAAGCGCCCTCCGGCTGACTTGATACCCGCCCTTCACAACGGTTTGCACGCCTCTTGAACTTGCAAGAACTTTGGTGCACGCGGCCCTCCGGCCATCCGATGCCCGCGGCCCTCCGGCTTCAAAGGACGCGTCTTCATGGGGAGATGGAGGCTCTCCTCCAACAGCATTGATTGCCCACCGACGCTTTAGTGCACCGTCTTCATTCTCAAGACCCCCGGATCGACAAGGGGGCACACCTTTATGCTTTTCCCCAAGTCCTGCTCTGATACCATTTGTCACGGGCCTAGAGATTTGGCGCAGCGGCACGGCCCGTGCGGCACCAAGGCGTTGCTTCAGCTCGCGCAAGCGCCCTGGTCAGCCACCACGACCTGCCCTCCCAATGATACATGCTGACTGGTTTCGGCCTGCCATGGCCTCGTCAGGGGAACGGCTCCAGCTCCCGACCAGTTTGTGCAGGGATGGCCAACTCCCTTCTTCATAGTCAAGTCCAAGACTAGCGATAAGCACCTCGAACTGAACCGAGTCGACCTGCCTGAACTCTGAAGAGGTACCATCCTGTGGTCCTGCACGCCCCTTCCCTGGAACCATTCCCAGTCAATGAATGTTTTTAGCCAACCAGCATGCGTATCTTCTATGCTCATGGCGTCGTTAGGAATTGGATCGTGACAATAAGCCACCTTATTACCGTTGCGTCGCACATGAGAATTCGAAAACCAGGAGAAAGATTGCAGTTCAACAAGAATATAAAAAATTATACAATAAATCTCCGTGGTAATGACCCTATCATCAATCAAAGCATCCACAACGATCTTAGCATTATACTTAAAGCACACTGTCAGAAAGTTGAAT